ATTTATTTAGTTGAATTTTTTATTAATGTAAAAATAAAAAAAATAAAAAATATAAGTTTATGATATAATTGTAAAATATAAGTTTATTTATTAAATAATTTTTTATTATTGTAAAATTTAAAAAAATAAAAAATATATATTTTTTTTATTTATATAATAATTTTTTGTTGTTGTAAAAATTAAAAAAATCAAAAGTATAAGTTTATGATATAATTTTAAAAATAATAGTTTATGATATAATTGTAAAAATATAAGTGTATTTATTTAATTAAATTTTTACTATTATTAAATAAAATTGTAATATATAATTGACATATTGATTTTTTAGATTTATATATATAATATAAAAACAAACCTATTTTAAAATAATTTTCACAAAAAAAAAATTTATACTTTATTCAATAATAATAGTTTTTGTTTAAATTTTGTCAAGAATTATTTTTTAGATTTATTTTCTTTAAGATAATTTGAGTGCCTATTATTCTTATTTAAAACATTTTTTAAGATTTCATAGCTTTGCAAATTTTTTTGAAAAAATATTTATTAAATTAGAATGATATTTTTAATCTCTATTTATTCTATTTTATTAATTATATTTAAGAAAAATTTGGAATATTTTTACACCACATGAAAATAATAAAAATAGACATTAAAACAAACATGTTGCAAAAAGAATGAATTCAAAATGAGAGAGATGATTTTTTAAAGTTCATGTGGAAAAAATGAGAAAAAAGAAAAAGGATTCGGACACCCCAATAAATATAAATGACACCCCATAAATATGTGCAAAGTTCTTACCACTGGGGTGACTTTACATCCAAATATAAATGACACCCCATAAATATAGTTTATTTTTTGTTTACATAGACAACGATGTTTGTTTATAAGTTAGAATGATGTTTATTTTAAAACCGAAAAAATTACAAATTGGGTGAAAAGAAATGAACTTGGGAACGAAGGTGCAAGAGTTTTCTCCACTCGACTGAGAGAGTAGCTCTGAATAGTGGGATATTTGTGCCGTATCAAATCTTGATGTTTGCAATTCAGTTCCGTTTCAGACTGGTTTTATGCTAGGGGCTTTTAATGTTGTTAATTTTTAGATTGTGATGTGTGCTAAGTTCACATTGGGAGGTTCTAGTGGGGCAATCACGAAAACATCAGTAGCTTCTAGAATTCAGTCAAGAGAGAGTAGATGAACAAGTTACCTCATGTTCAACCATACTTGGCTTTAAGGTGTTCGATAAAATGTCTGTGTGATTGTGAAATGTGTTTTGGATGATGCATCTAACGTGTTCGACAAAATGTCTGTGTGACTTTGGAATGTGTTTTTTCTTATGATTTTATGGAGTTGGTGCTTCTGCTAATATAAAGGTAATGGGGCTATTTGCTATAGACAAAGGTGGTGGTAAAAATGGCAATGAAATTCAAACCTTTCTACATGTCTTGAATCCCATTGTGAGAGTTCTCTTCTCCCTTTTTATAGTTGAGTTTGACTCTATTTTTATTTAATGATTTTTTGTATTGAAAGTATTGTTTTTCATTATATTGTTTAAGGTGTTTTAAGTTCCAAAATTGAAATTAAAAAAGTGAGTGGAAAGACTTGAAAAACAAACATGGTGTATGGTGGGTGTAGTACTAATATTCTCTTACTTCCTTGTGTGTTCAGAAATTGCAAAATTGAAAAAGCAACCAAAAAAGTAAAATTGTTTTTACATCAAAAAATAGCAAAGTAGATTGATCCTCTGTGTCACTATCAACAATTTCAGGAAAATGGCATGTGACTTGTACCAACCTCTTCAAATTTTGTTTCTTTCATATTAAAGTTGGTCTGTTAATTTTGTCAACATATTTTGATATAGCTGTTCAAAAATATACATGAATCAGTGTACTGTTATTTTGATTCCCCTTCACAAATCTCGTTTCTTTAATTAAGTAATGCATATTTATCTTATATACTGTTTCTTTAATGTACTATTTAATTTGATTGCTTTCACAAATATAATGTAATTAGTATACTGTCATTGAAACAAGTTTGCCTTAATTTACCTGTGGACGCATTACTTTGATTTTATAATGTTTTCTTCATATAGATGTCTTGTTTGTTCTTTTTCATATGTGAATCAAGATGTGTTTGATAGAGATTAATACAATCAATTGTTATTCTTGCAGGTTGAAGCACAAATTTGAACTCATTTTCGGTACCGAGCAAAGCTATTGATTTTGAAATTTCAAGGTAGGTACTACTTTATGACTTAAATATGTTCCTATTGCATTTGATTGTTTATTTTAGATTTTATTATACTTTGTGTCTATATTAATGATTTGGTGACTTATCGCATTTGTGTCCACATTAGATTTTATTATACTTTGTAATATATATAGGTGTTAATACAATTTTTGGAGCTACGTTGGAAATGGAAATTCCTCCGCATCGAACATGGATGTATAATAGGCTTCTCCCGGGTCGAAGTGCACATACATATGAATTCTTAAAAGGTGTCGAAGAGTTTATAAACTTTGCTTGTCAACAGAAAGAGTATTTGAAGAATGGTATAATAAGATGTCCATGTAAGTTCAAGAGTCACAAGTTAGTGCAACAATTGAAGATGACCCAATTGATCCCCTACAAGATGATGAAGTTGATGGTGAAGAGGTTAGTTTGTCAACAATACAAAAAAATGAAGATGAAGAGGATTCCAATGACGATGATGAAAATTTAATTGCAATTTGATTTAGATAAATTTTTAAACATTTACTTGACTTGTAGATAACAATCACCTAGATTCTAAAAACTTTTTAGAGCCATTGGTCGAAGACAAGTTACCATTGTGTTCATTTCGAGTTTCGAGTTGATTTCATCTTAAAACTGTGTTTTTCCTACTGCTTATATTTTAATAATGTGATGCCATTGTGAGTTTGGTTGCTACATGGCTGTTTTGTTTAACCCATGTCGCATAGCCAACGATTTTCAGCGGCTGTTCTACCGGTAGTAACATTTCAAAATTACTTTTTGCAGCATTTTGTATGGTGCTCTAGTTTGTTCTAACTTTACGTTGGCCTTTGAATTGTGTGTGCATTATGTTTAAGATATTATTTCAAAATTGAATGGCGTGTCATGCTTGACAGTGTCTCATCTATTTTCGTGACATCCCCAGATGGTAATTAACTATCAACAGAATATATAAAATTATCTCATCTTTTGTATAACTCAAAAGAGAATAATAACTCTTATTCCTGTTGCAAGATTCTCACCTTCATCAAGAAAAATATTATGGTTCAAAACTTTCGGCTGCTGGCCAATACCTTGTTAATCCCAAAGATATTTTTACCGACGAGGTTTCAGTAGGTGCATTTCATGCACTTTCTAGAAATATATTAGTAGTTGCTTCTGCTGGAAATGATGGACCAACAGCAGGAAGTGTTGTGAACGTAGCTCCATGGGTATTCACAATTGCTGCAAGTACATTAGATAGAGATTTCAGCAGTACTGTAACTTTTGGTAACAATCAAAAAGTGACGGTAAATGTCATCGTAATTCTTATTAATCCTCTTCATATTATTATTAACTAATAGTAATTAAATTTGAAATAACTGTTTTTGATTTTTTATTACTAGGGAGCCAGTCTTTTTGTAAACATGCCACCAAACAAAGCCTTTTCTTTGATTCTTGCTACCGATGGTAAGCTTGCCAATGCGACAAATCGTGACGCGTAAGTACCAATCTCAAATGCTTTACTTTGAAATAAACTTACTAACTAATTAAACGATGATTTCTCACACTTTTCATATGTATTGTTGCAGACGACTTTGTAGGCCGGGAACACTAGATCCTTTTAAAAGTGAAGGGAAAATAGTGGCATGCAATCGAGAAGGAAATATAAAATCAGTTGCTGAAGGTCAGGAAGCTTCATCTGCAGGCGCAAAGGGAATGCTTTTGAGCAATCGACCACAATAAGGGAAAACGACTCTTGTTGAGCCTCATGTTTTGTCTTGTGTATCTACGCCACATAACGAAAGCGATTACCACTCTTCTGCTAACATTTCTTCCTATGACATCATTTCAATGTAGTTGATTATATATCCGTCTTACTCTTCCGCATACCCTTTTAGAAATGTTACATTTGTTGACATGCTACGAATGAAAAACTCTAACCATACACATTATACTTATAATTGCAGGGACTCTAAACTAAAAACAGGTACTACAATAAGGTTTTCAGGAGCAAAAACATTCTATGGAAGAAAGCCAGCTCCAGTAATGGCTTCATTCTCATCTAGAGGACCCAATAAGATTCAGCCATCAATACTCAAGGTGTTTTTAATATTTGATTTAGCGTTTCTGTTTTATGGTAGCAGAGCTTTCTTCTGACTTAGTTTTTTTTACCAGTAATGAAATGCAATAATGTAGTATGATATGATCATGATCCTGTGTGGTACATATCTTAACTTTATGTTGTTATGGACATGGTCCTATGTTAACTACTATATGAACTTTTGTTCTGTTTTTACAATCTTGTGTTTCTTTTTGTTTTGAATGTTAATAATTGAGAAATCAAATTTCATCTACCAAAAAAGTTCTGCTGTTTATGATATAATTGTAAGTGATAAAGTGGTCCAAAATTCATATGGAGAGTGTCCATTTTGATTGCAACATTCATTTTTCAATCTATGGTTTTGCTTTTTATCATATCTCACTGACTATAGAGTATATCAGATAGAGTATGCAAAGGTTCAACTTTGAACTTTAATTTATATACTATTACAATTACTCATATGATATTAATTTGACATGCATGTTGTTGATTGACCTGAGTTTGGTCTGAATTTTGCCTACTGTTATTTTTTCAGGATACAAGTTCTGTCAAATAGTGGTATTGCCTCTGTTCTGGTTGTAGCTTTATGGGTTTTAACCGACGGGAAGGATTATTGCTTGAACTCTAAAGAGTCGCCTCTGATTACCGCTCTTATTGGTGGCGTTATTGGCCATTATTGCTGCTGCAATGGAGATACCTAGTCTTCAGAGATTGGAGTTCTCAGTGATGACCGACCTCGTCTCATCACAACCTTCAAGGTAAATAGTCTTTTAGTCTAAGCCCTATATGAGCATCCGCGTAAATCACGTTGCTGTTTGGCTAGAGACCAATGTTAACGAAACACTGTCTGATAGAGTTCTCAAGCAACTACTGGTCATACCCATGGCTACCACGGCAGGACTAGGTGGGAGTATCGTTGACTCTCTATTGGGTGCAACGTTACAATTTAGTGGATTCTGCTCTATTCGCCAGAAGGTAAATTCTGATACATATTTCTCTCATATTTACATTACATTTGAACAATGTCAATGAAAGATCCAGTGACCTCACTCTATGTTGTAGGTTGTTGGGAAGCCAGGACCAACTGTTAAAAAGATTTCAGGTCTCAGCATTCTCGACAACAATGCAGTGAACTTTGTGTCAATACTGTTAACCACGGTTTTAACTTCAATAGCTTGTTTGTACATATTCTAGTTTCGTCACGAGCAGCAGTTCTGTGGCTGAAAAAATTGTAGAAGAATTCAAAATTTGTAATCGAATGATAGAACAACAGGCCGGCCTCAAATGGATGGGGACTTGATTTTGCTTTTAGAAAATGTGTTGAGGTACTAAACTAAGCTTATTTCTCTTATTATACTATAATTTTGATATGCTATAGAAATTTGAATTAAATTCTGTTATAGCCCGTCCATGAGAAAATTGGAGTGGTTGATGCTCAATGGATTGTTCACCAAGGTATTCCATCATTAGGGGATCATGTAAGATTTTAATCTAGTTTATGACTAATCATGATACATAATATGTTTGATTTTAATTATATTATCATTACTCAAATGAAGCTTTATAAATTTTAATGTTTTTCGCGTTTTGTTTGATAGGGGAGAAGCACAAACGGGGAAGCCGGCATGGCGGGCGGTATGATATAAGAACCTTTTGTAATTCAAACGTTTTTTTTATTTGACGATTACGATTAATTGTCAGGATTATACTTTTCTTTACATTGACAATGTATAATGTATATGAATTAAATGGATTTTGATTTTGTTTATGTGTATATTTTGCATGGTATTATTGGTGACAGGTTAAAGAGAGGTGTGGGATGGAGTGGAGAATGTTCCAAGGTAGATTGACAAATACAGAAAAAGGATATTACAAGTCCAAGGGAATTGATTTTTCTAATTTGCTAGTTCATAATTAAGGGACAGTAGTTACTTTCAACTGTAACTTAGATTCCTAGATAGAAGATTATGTATATTTGTTGTATGAATCGTTACTACATGTGTATTTTGAGTGGAATTTTTGGATCATTTTCCTCATGGTTGATGCGGCAGTCTTAAGTTATTTATTAGGGTAGATTTTGGTGGTTTTAACGCCATGATCGAATAAATACTTAGATTTTTATAATTGTGACAAAATTAAATCAGATTCTTTGGATAATGATAAATCATTTAACAAAATTAAATCAGATTCTTTAGATTTTTTATTTTTATATTATTAAATACATTAAATATATTATTTTAAATATGACTTAGACACAATGAATAATAAAAATTAAAAACATGAGAGAGAAATTACATGTGAAATTAATTATATTATTCCAGTTTGCTGCGACTTTTCCTGCAAAAGTTAAAGTAACCTGCGGTATTACCTGCGAATTTAGCTGTTATACTTGCGCATTTTTCCTGCGACATTTAACTGCGACTTTTCCTGCTATGTTAATTACCCACGGAGGTTTTAGCTGGAAACGAATAAGCTAAGAAAAAATCGCAGGAAACGTGTTTCCTGTGGAAGATTTGTCAAAATCCGCAGGTAAATCCGCAGGTAAACTGTGTATTTCTAGTAGTGGCATTCTATTGGTGCAAGTTAGATTTTTTGTCCTTGTGCTGCCTCCCATTCTATGTGAAGACATACCAGTATCCCCCCACCGGGCATTATATTTGTTCAGTTACAAACAATTCCACAAGTCATGTCAATACAGCGAACAATGTTGTGCTTGTAAATTGGAACTAGTGGAAGAAAACTTGCTTCAATAGTATGCAGTTGAATCAAATGGCAAAAGAACATATATTAAAATTTTAAGGGGATGGATTAGTCTTCGTTGTAATGTCTTACTTTAAAATTACTTTGGCCGTATCAAGACCTCTTGATTTGTGGTGCATTTTTTTAAAAGATATTTCACATGACTTATCTAGATTGAATTATATGGTTAAATATGTTTGAAGTTATTTCTAAAATCTTATGATTATGGATGAGAATGTCATGATATAATAAAATTAAAAAAATACTAACCACTGCAGGTTAAGGTGAAGATTAAGGTTGTCACGGGATCTCCCAGTGGTGCTGTGGCGGCTGAAGCTAGATGGAGTGGTTCCCATTGGGTCATACTAGACAAGTAATTAAACATCAAAAAGTATTTCTTTTTTCTGAGCTACATTAGTTTGTGTCAAAAGTTAAATGCAAATATAATATTTTGTAGCACACTTGCATTATAATTTTTATTAGAGGCTTCAACAACTTATTAACTATATTTAAGAGAATAATATTAGCTTGATTGAATAACTGCATCTTGCTAAGGGTAATCATTCAATTGATATAATCAATTATTTGTTAGTTAATATGATTTGTTTGAATAACTGCATAACATAACTTTCAATCATAAATAATAAATAATAAGTAAAACTTTTTGGTGCTGCATGCCCTATCAGTGAAATATTTGTTAGTGAACTCCTTAACTTTGCTGGAACAGGAAACTAAAGCAAGAGGTAAAACATTGCATGGATGATCTTAGCTGTAGCATTGTGGTGATGAATGGATCACAGCCTAAAGTCCTCAGACTTAATTTAGGAGGACCCTCCGATGAATTCCAAACACCATTTTTCTCTACTTCTTCACCAGGTATAGAAATCGGAAAGCTAAATGGGCGCAGATTGAAGCATTTCCCCCTAGTGGGTAGTCCTGAAGTAGCAGACTCTTCTGTTACAGCCAATATTGGATTGAATTCAGTGTCAAGCTCAGACTCAATGACTTCTCCTACTGATGGTAGACGTTCATCTGAGTCTAGCTACCGAATTCTATAATGACATACTTTCTAGATTATGAACCTTCTTATTCATTTTTGGCACAATGATACTTATTGTTATAAGATCATGATTTGATATGTTTTCGGATTTTAGTATTACATGATATGATTATGGAACTTTCATTTTACATGATTATGAAACTCATGTTTTTTCGATATTATAATGTTTATTTGATATTAAGTTTTGGAATTAATTTTACTACGCTAAAAAGCGATAGAATTTTTTTTAAAAAAAAAATTATAAATAAAAATATTATTGTATAAATAATTTAAAGAAAAAATAATATAACTATTTTAGTAGATAATAATTTAAACAAAAGAATATATTATAAAACAATATAATACAATATATAAAAATTAATAATGAACCGTCAAGATATCACATTTACGGCAGTTTTAAACCGTCACAATTAACAATGGTAACAAAAATCAAAACGATATTCACGACAGTATTTAACTGTTGTCATTTCCAATTTATGTCAGTTCCAACCAGTCGTGAAATAGAGTTCACGACAGTTTTAAACCGTCACAATCAACAATGAAAATAAAAATCAAAAGACTAGTAACGACGGTCTTTAACTGTCGCTATCTCCAGTTTAGGTCAGTTCAAGCCCGTCGCGAAATATAACGACAGTTGTGTGTGACGGTTTTTTCAACCGTCGCTAAACAGCCTGGGGACACACGTTTCTGTGACGGTACTACAACCGTCGTAGAATGTAATTGGTGGTGGTTTTAACCGTCGTAACCTGCCAAAATAACCGTCGCAATCCATCATTTTTCTTGCAGTGATTTATATGTTCACAAAACATTTTCTTTTAAATTGTTCTATTTTGAAAATAAACCAAATTATATATCTGGCCCTTCTAATCAATTTTTTCCACATAAACTACTTAAAATCAAATTCTTATTTAAAATATATAACATATTAAATAGCATGAAACAAAAAGACGCATATATAAGATTTGTGAGATTATAATATATTTAAAATGATTTTAATTTTGTTAGAAATAAAATTAAGATTAATAGTATAAAATAAATCAGCATTTTTATATATTTATATCTTAATGTAAGCCTGTTATATTTATAAATAAATTTTTTTTTAAAAAGAAATAATATAAAATAATATGTACTATATTTTTTTATAATTACTTAAATCACTTTTAAATATAATTTTTAAACTTATTGATAAGTCTAAATTATGACGAATACTTTGATTCCCTATGAATTTAATTGAATATCGATATTTATTTTCAAAATCTATTTAACTTTTTATTTATTTTAAAATTAATTAATATAAAAAGTGACATGATATTTAATAATAGAATATTTAACTTTTTATTTATTTTAAAATAAATTAATATAAAAAGTGACATAATATTTAATAATAGAATAATGTTATCTAAAAGTATCGATACCGGATTAAAATTCATAAATATTTAAAAATTTACTTTAAATTATTACACCGATGTTAAAATTATGCATAAATTATAATTATTAAAAATAATTACATTTAAATTTCTAATTTTTCATCTGTATTGACATTTAGCACTTTTTTACAAAATTATACTTAAAACAAACAAAAAAAATGGGACAGGAACAGGACCATAAAATTCAGTAATTTAAAGCTTGATGTTGAAGGAAACAATTATAGCATTAGATTCTGTTTACAACAAAGTAACTTTATGCATCTATATAATGTATGGCTCAGTTAGCAACAAACATAACACAAAACAAAGCATTATAACAATCAAGAGAGATATCATATCATATATTATAACATGGCTGGTTTTTTCAGGAGTATCTTTGGTTTGAACGATGGTGGAAACAATGGAACTATTGATGCGTTAATTAACAACAAGTGTGGCTATCAAGATTATGATGGTGCAAAAGTTAGCATGTAGACTTGAATTAAATGCGACAGGTGACTGTCGAACATATCCATAACTGTCTAACAATTCAAACAGGGTTTTGCTCTCAGTCAATAAGAGAAATGACAAAACTCGAAGGATGTGCACGAATCCACTTCTAAGTCATATTAATAACTCCAAGTGATTAATTGACAAGCTACTTTGATAAAAAAATAACTTTACTTTGATTATGAAAAGCGATTATATATTTGTTTTGAATCCTCTAATTATACCTATTGATGAACTGTGTATTATATGAATTACAATTATGCTATAATCTAACGGCGAATTAACAAGACCATTATACTCAATTTCTTAGTGTACAACTCATTAATTTACATAATAGTTCCCTAATTTCTTAGGTCAATTCAGAGTTAAATCGGGCGTTCTAAATTCATTAATTCAAAAGACAGAATTTATAATTACCTATTCTTAGTTAATTACTAAGTTGAATAACTGTCCTAATTCATATCGATAGAATTACAGTC